TGAAATATTTCCTCGTAAAGCCCAATTGAACTTTTAGTTTAAATTCTCTAAATACAATCCAGGTGCATCAAACTGAGGCAGTTCAATGTCTTACAGTTTGCTTTGTAAGTGAGCCACAAAATCCTGCCCCTGCCAACATGCAGCCATTACTCTCTGGGCAGGAGCGTAACTAGAAATCACAGGGCCCCATAGCAACATTTTGTATGGGGCCCTGTGACTTCTAGTTATGCCCCTTTCAGTGCCCACTTGAGATCCCACGCAGCCCACCTGAGGGTGACCCTACAGAGCCCACCATAGACTCTCACCCTCAGGTCACCCTCAAGTGGGCTGGTCACACTCCTTACCTGTCCGCCTCCTCTTCCTGCACGATCGCTGATGGGCCCCGCCTCCTTCTCCGTCACCAGGCCACGCCTCCTCATCTGCTGCTGACCACGGGCCCGCCTCCTCATCGACAGAACACCGGGTCCAGCCTGCTACACCGCCACTGCTGGCTCTCATTAACTCCCCAGCGGCTGTGAGATGAGCACGCTGCTGCACAGATTACTGTCAGTGATCTAAACAGCAGCGCATTCTTCTCACAGCCGCCGGTGAAAGGCACCAGCAGAGGATGCCATAGCGACCCAGGCGGCCCGCACGGCATCTGGCTGGGCCCCACTCCCCCGGGCCCCAAAGCGGCCATACGCCATTGTCTCTGGGTGGTATTAGTGGTCTCTCTGCAGAGGTCTGATACTCCCCCTAGCTGAGTCAGAGATACAACTCTCCAATCAGTGGGGATCATAACCTTTGCTGATTGCAAAACTATAGGTCTGACTCAATAGGAGTGTCAGACCTCTGCAGGGAGACTCCTGCTTCCCCACCAAGAGCAAGTGTGCCAACCTGCAGCTGCTGGCATGGAACAAGCTTTTCCTCTCAGGCTGTGGCTGCTTTCTGAATGAGCTGTAACCTTGGACACATTAAGTGCCTGTTCACACGACGTCCGTTTTGTGTGCTGACCTGATCCGTATGCTCCTGCACTCAAAATGCATCCCAATGTATCCCTATGTGTTTTATGGGCTACAGTTCTCACGTGCGCAGTCCATTCAGCTTACGACAGAAAAATACTGCATGTCACAGGAAACGCAAACGCGTCAAAAACGCACTGCACTGCAGCTAACATACTAGCCCCACTCCAGCAAAAAAAATCAGCATCAGTAGCACCGCGTCTGCAGATCCGGACCTGAAACTCATGTGAACAGGCCCTGAAGGGAACTTATCAACTTTTCTGTTTCATTTTCAAATCTTAACTGAACAAACTGAAGAGAGAAGCTGATTGGTTGCCATGCACATCCGCTCCAGTTTTTGTCTGCTCCAGGTTTGATAAATTCCGCCCACTGTGTTTTGATGCACCTGGAATGAAGGTTCAGCTGGGCTTTAAGAGAGAACGACGAGTCTTTGCGAGCACCGGAAGCTCCGGGCACTTTCTGCAGCATCCGTACCTTTCCATTCCTCATATGGCGATTACCACTGATGGACTATAGACCTATTTGGAAAGCTAAACTGCGCTCATTCGTCAAGATGTCTGGAGTAATAATCCCGCGTCCAGCAATTGCAGAAGAAAAACAGATTCTGCCTTTTTCTTCCTCCCTCCACTTTGTTCGCCAATATCTGATCTCGCGCTAACAATACCTCAGCAAGGAACTTGGAAGCTGGAATCGAAGGCGCCGGCGTTGCTCCATGATGACAGTTTTGAAGTTTTTTTGTTTTTTTTCCTAAATTGCATTTACTGCTTGGCGGTAAAAGAGTGCAGTCCATTAATGTCAGGCTATATGGCTTCTCCTGTGTAGCCATCTTACATTTGTTATAATTGATCTCGAGGCGCGGGGACATAAAGAACGGCTGAAGCCGCTGGCAATTTTGCCTCGTAAAGTGCACCGGGTAAAAGGAAAAAAACTCCCCATTTGCTCTGGACTTTTGATGACATTTTTCCTTCATTAAAGCCAAACTTTAGGTAGATAGGAAAGACACCAATGAATGCAGCTCTGTATTATTATTATTACAGGAATTTATATAGCACCGACAATTTACACAGCACTTTACATAGTTGCACATTCACTTCAGTCCCTACCCTCAAGGAGCTTACAATCTAAGGTCCCCATCTCGCATACATACATAGAGGGCCAACTTAGAGAACAGCCAATTAATTTACCAGCATGTCTTTGGAGTGTGGGAGGAAACCGGAGTACCCGGAGGAAACCCATGCATTCACCATTCATTTAATTTTTTTTTTATGAAGCAACCAGTGCAAGTACCTAAACCTGACTTGGCATCAGCCTCTTGCAGTCCCTGTACAGCAAAGCTCAGACAGAGAGAGGCCGATACAGCAAAAGGAGGTGCAAGAAGTATGCCGAGGAAGAGAGAGCAAAGAGACAGAACGATAAGCTCATCAGTCTGCTGCTTCTTCTTTCACTGTCTAGTTACAGGCTGAGGCTAGAACTTTAGAACTTTAACGGTTTCTGAAGTGCAGCATAGAAATGTTAGATGTGCTGCCCTGCCCTGTGCTGACTAGTGACAGAGTCGCTATTGTGACATGGTCCCTTAGGACCAGTGATATGCCTGAGCTTGTTGCAAAGCCAGTTCGCCTGAGTTTGCCCGAGCCCGATCAAAACTGTGACTGCCACCCCTCCTCCCAGCCCAATCCGTTGCAGAGAGGTGCATTTCCTGCCCCCTAGGAAAGTCCCCACCACAACTGCTGGGTCTGGAGGGGTTTGTGTTGGTCAAGGTTTTGAGGGGGCTTTGGCAAAGTCAGGCGAACTGTGTTTGCACTAAGCTCAGGCCCATCTCTACTTCGAATGATTGCAGAGAGCAGTGGCACATGACTATCGCAGGAAGGGTGGAGATGTCTCAGATATGCAGGCTTTGATTGGCAGCTTGGCTTCTCTGCACTTTCCAAGAGGTAAAATGGCACCACCCATTGGGGAAATAACGGAGCCTTGAGGGACAGGCAGAAGCAAAGTTGGCCGGTGGTGAATAATTCAGATGTTTCCCTAAATGTTGAACTTAGTCTTTTGCCCTGGGGATATGACAAGATGATTGACAGTATCTTAGTGCAACACAGCAGAGAGCAGGGAGGTCGGTGGTTTATGTATGATTTGGCATTTGGATGAGGGATTTTGATGTTATTAGGGTTTATGTTACACCCTGAATATAGCTATAACAGGATCTGAAAGGTAAACTTCATCTTTAAAGTGACACTAAACTCAGGAGTTAAACCTAAAAATTAATGTAAGTATCTTAACTATGAACAACAATGTTTCTTATTTGTGTATCACTCGGCTGTAGATCCTCCAATCATCACTGAATTAGTGCTGACACTGTCCTTCCTCCTGGAGGGGGGCTACTTGTGTTCGCCATGGTCTCTGTGTTGGTTGTAAAGTAGTCACCGCTCCAAGCTCACTCCTGGGATGGACTACAATCTCATTAGAAATCCGTAAACTAAACATGAGATTGTAGTCCATCCCGGGAGCGAGCTTGGAGCAAGCCTCTCCTGTTATAACATGTGACCATGCACATCATCTCAGGGGATGAAAATGCCTTTCCCTGAGATCTCGTGAGATTTCCTAATCAATGTTCTGCTGAAGTAACCTTCCCAGGATGCAACGCTGTAACGCATTGTAATAGGAATACATAGTAGAGTTGTCTCTAATAATACAATTTAAGCTTACTAGAAAAAAAATCCCTTTTATGTAGTGAGTGCCGCCTTCCTTCTGCCCGTCGTTTATAACAACTTCCTGGATTCCCATTGTGCTTTGTGCCTGTTCCCTGCTGCTTGATGTGATACAAACTAAATTTCTCAAGGCTCCATATCCCATCATGCATTGTTTCCAGCAAGCAATGATGATGTTACGTTGTGGGCGTTTCCTGTGTTCACTGTGATGATGTTTCCAAGTGGTGACACCAAGAAGTGCCCATTCACAGGGCAGAGTGAAATGCTCTCAGTGCATTGAAGAAGTCTATCCTGTGGGCATCTTCAGTAAATAAGTTTACAAACTTCTAAATGATTATTATTATTATACAGGATTTATATAGCGCCAACAGTTTGCGCAACGCTTTACCATATAAGGAAGACATTACAATCACAATACTAGACAATATCGTTATTAGGAGTGGCATAGACTTTATGTAAATTCAATATAGAAACACATTTATTTTTAGTTTTTGAATATAGATACCTTTTAATCAGCGGTTGTTGATTTCCTCATCAGGAGTTAATCCCCTTTGTTTTTTCTTCTGCAGAACTCAAACTAACTCTCTTTTTCCCCTCGTGAACTTAGCATACAGCTGACCTTAGCCACGGTCTATCAGCTGCCAGCAGATCGTGGTTATTAAACTTTCCGATGGGCGATAACAAACTCCTGTTTTATTTTTAGAGGCTTTAAAAAAGAAAAAGCAGAGGGATAGTTTTGATGCTCTTAAAAAATACACCCCCTGCCTGGGACATGACATTTCAGGATATTAAATAGTTGCAACCCGAAGCTGATGTATTTGTAGTATTTACAACGCAAGCCCAGCGGAAATAAACTTCGCCGTGTGAACGTGCCGGGGATTGATTTCATTAAATTAGGCCATCAACGTCTTGGTCGGGGGGCCACTGGAAGGGACGTTAAGAGCGAATCAGCGGCGACTTATTAGCCATATTTATATTAAATTCCGACAGGCTGTAAATTATACCAGAAACAAG